TACTAGTATTCCTGGTTTAAGAGCAGCAACTATGCCGTAATACTCAGTGATCATTCAATAATATAAATACTTGCTCTTTCATAACAATTTTTTGATTGGAAATGACTCCAACTCAACCAGGCTCAATAGGCAGTGCTAGTTGCATGCAAATCTCGAACCAGAGAGCTCACTGTGACTCTACCCTAGGAAGTGATGTAAAGTCAGCTTTACCACGGGCTGGTCCTCTCCTATTCCCAAACTTCCAGCTCTAGGCCTCCCCTCTTGGTGGCATGGTGGCTGCCTCTAACCCAGACCTTGTCTCCTTTCACCACACTATCAGTGGCAGATAAGAGTCCCTTAAATAGTCCCTGTCTAGTTTCTCCTGGAATCAGCTTGCCTTGAGGAAAACACATTGGGAGCAGAAGTGAGGGATGGAGAGACAGCCAACAAATGTCTATTCTACCAGTACTTAACTCTTTTCCCTGCTAAATATTTAGTTATTCTACACCTATTCAGAGCTCAGTATGGTGTTGAGTCCGGATTTTGAGTCCCAATTCTGGGTTGCTTGATTAATCTTTGATACTTTTTAAAGGAAGTAGAATGATGCCAAATCCTGGCTCCTCAAGAAAAGACTCTTACAAATTAGCCATATCTGAGTTACTTTTTATGCAGGATGGGTAATTAAAACTGCGGCGTCAGTTTAGAACAGGGGTCTGCAAAATTTCTCCAAGGGGCCAGATAGTAAGAATTTTACACTTTGGAGACCATTCTGTGTCATAACCAGACCTCTGCCATTATAATGTGAAACCACCCATAGAAAATACCTAAATGCATAGGTGTGACCGTGTTCCAATAAAACCTTGTTTATTAAACAGGATTTGGCCCGAGGACAGTTTTTTACTAACCAATGAGTAGGAAAAGTCAGGCAAGACTGCTTTTCAGAATCTTTTTAAAATTAACACTCCAGCCGAAACCGGTTTGGCTCAGTGGATAGAGCGTCGGCCTGCGGACTGAAAGGTCCCAGGTTCGATTCCGGTCAAGGGCATGTACCTGGGTTGCGGGCACATCCCCAGTAGGAGATGTGCAGGAGGCAGCTGATC